AGACAAGCCCCTGCTATTGATTGGTTGGGCTGCCTCCAGGCTGCTTTCCATCCCCTGCCCCTCAGCGCAGATGACAATGTCCTTCTGCATAACTTACCCTACATTGTGCAGATGTCCAACACCATCATCAAATGGCAGAACAAGCCCGAACTGAGCAACAGGTACTGTAAAGTGACATAAAAATGACAAGCACATCCTTTCTCTTTTTTATGCTTATCTTTGTTGCTGGGTCATTTGTTTCCACTCAGCGCTCCCCTTCATACTTTTATGGTCCTCAATCTGCTGCACACCCTGATGCCTGCCATGGACTCCAGATTTTTTGAAACAGCAAAGAACTTTTCTATGGCTTTGGGTAACACTGAAGAGGTTAGCCGAATATGCTACAGAGGAAAGAAAAACTGGATCTGTGAATTGATTGGTTACTGTAATATCTTTATATTTTGGCTTTCCACCAGGAAGCTCCTCGCTGGAAACACTGTGTGCTGGAAACTGAGAGAGGATTTGATTCAGTTCTCACACATCTTCTCAGTAAAGTGACAGCACAGAAGGAGGTGAGGAGACATCTTGAGACCTAATGAATTCAATGGAGAGAAAAGGTTCTGTCTGATAATCTGTCATTTAACTCTCCAATAGGCAGAGAAGATTATTCAAAGTGTTTTTCACTCCTTCAAGTCCAAACTAAATGAGTTTGAGTGGACAGATCAGACATCTCGTCAGCTTGTCATGGAAAAGGTAACGAGTGAAGAATTTGTTTTCTTTTTTTAATTTCTTCAGAAACGAACGATTTTTAAGTTTGATATTTGTTAAACGATTCTGCAGGTTGATTCTGCAATTCCAAAACTATGGACTACAAAGGAGCCTTCTAGTGAAGCCAAGCTTGACCTGCTTTTTTCGGAGGTACATCAAAAACCTCTTGGTTTAATGTCTTGATGGCATTTATCTATGTGGGACTTAAACTATATCTCACTCAGTGCTGTCAGATAGAACTCTTTAGGATCCCAATGTCCATCTAAGTTTTAATTTGATCTGTTTGGATCTCACTTCAGGTGAAAATTCGCCACTTAATTCAGTAGCCTGTATGAGAGTCGAGCCAGCCTCCCTAGTTTTATTAGTTTTTAGTTTTATTATACCACAGAGTGACAGGTGGTGTGGAAAGGGCCCTCCACTGGAAAATAATGATCTTACGCCCCAACATCAATGCAGTCTGCACCTGTTCGGCAACATTAGGTGGAAGATTTTTGAAGGGTGATGGATTCCCTAGATTTAATAGTGTTGGCAAAAAGGGATTTAACAAATTTGTGAATCTCTGTCCAAAAATTTGGTGATTTAGGACAGCTGCAAATCATGTGGGTCAATGTGCGCACCCCAGTCGGACATTTCCAGCATTCGGGGGTCTGTATGAGGTTCGCCCTGCATAATCTGTGTGGTGACCACTAAATTCGGTGTAGTAGTTTGAATTAAGTTAGTCTTGTTCTAAGTTCCCTGGACATCTTTTTAATATTCTGTAGATTCCTGATCAGTAAGCGCTACACTAAGGTCAGTTTCCCAGGCTCGTTGCAGGGTGGTGAGCCCTTTATCCATGTGTTTTAGAAGCACTGAATAATATTTAGGGACCTCACAATTTCCCTCAAAGACTTTCCCAACATAGGTGAGATAGCCTATAGTTAAAGCAGGTGTGGAGGGAGATCCAAAGATCATGAGGAGTAGATGTAGACTTAGAATAGCTGCAAATATTTCAAAAACTGTCTCTGTGGCAGCTGAAACTGTGTCCCCCGTCACATAGATCTCCAAGAATAAGAATTCCTCTCTGAACCCAAGTCTCCAAAGAAATGGAGCCTTTTTAATGCTACATTTGGGGTTAAGCCTTATAGAGGCCTCAGTGTGGAGGTGCATTTTCTTTGTTTTCTTTGTATTATTGTAAGGTATTTACCTTACAATATAAAGCGCCTTGAGGCAACTGTTGTTGTGATTTGCTGCTATATAAATAAAACTAAATTTAATTGAATGTTTATTTATCATATAGAAAATCTGTTAATGCCGCAATAATGACATTAAACTAATGGTAAAACTGTTACCACGAATCTCAACTTTTAAATACTATGTTGACATCACTGGTTTTGGAAAATAAGGATTAAAAAGTGTAGAAATAAAGCCAAACCACTGACCTTCAAATATCTATAATTTCAGATGATAGTCAGCAACCAAAACTTCTTCTCCAACTATGTCCAGCTTCTATCCCTGCGGCAGAAGAAACGCATTGAAGTCCTGATCACCGAGCCTGAGGATATTGATATGTAAGTGTCAGCTTAAAGCTGATAGCTGCCAATAATCTGGAGTGTGCATTAATCTTTTCACTTTTCTTTTAGACTGTCTGTCACACCATTTCTCTTTGGTAAAAAGCTCCTCTTTCCCTTGGGAATGTTTGTACCTCCACTTTTCCATCCAACCTATCCTAGGTAACACATACACTCACTCAATAACTATTAAATGCCTTCCATTGTATTTTTCAAATAATTCCAGCATTGGACTTCTTCTGTAAACAGAGCCATTAATTATGGTGCAGCTGGTTTCCTTGTTGCTAAAGATATCCTCCACCTGCTTCTGCCTGACAGTAAGAGAGATTCACTTTCCTCTTGTTCATTTACTACACAAAAAATACATTTTGCTTTTGTTAGTAATATTATGTATATTTATCTCTGCAGTTTCGTCTCAAAGTAAGACCGTGAATGCTGTGGGTGAATGTGTGTGGACTCACTACCTCACAGTGTCAGAAAAGGCAGGCAGAGGTGGAGGGTTTCCGCTGTCAGCAGCACAGCAACAGGAGGTGTGGGTGCAGTATACTGCACTGCAGGTAGCGCTGCAGGTGAGGATCCATTGTCAGGCTTTAGTGTCTGTTTTTAAGGATGAGATCAAGTTTACATGTCTTCGTGTTATCTGCCTTTTTTTTCTTAGGCTTATCATCAGAATCTAATGCAACAGCCTAATGACACGTCTCTCTCAGGAATCTCATATACTCGCTTGTTCTTTAGATCCTTTTCTCAGGTGATGTACTTTCATTACTGTCTTTTCTTTTTCTGCTTTCCTCCCAGCTACACTCGAGTGTAATTCCCTGTAATGTGATTTATTTGCAGATTAACTGTGAAGCTGATCCATACCGTGACTCCATGCCTTTTAAACCCTCCTTCTTGATCACAGTCATTTGTGCCAAATATAATCTGTGTCCTACAAGCCCGCAGTGCTCCATTCAAACCAAGCAGAATTCATTACAAGCATGCTGACCAGTCTCCTCTGATTTGACATAAAAGGTGTACCTACCATAAGTAGGCTACAACCCAAAGCACACTTATGTATTTGCTTTTGTTGTAATTGTTAGGTTGTGTCTGCATGTTGTATAATTGCGCGAGCGGTTTAGTTTTGTTTGTTTTCATTTTTTGAAAACTGTTGAAACCTTGTTTCCAGCTTTGCTTTCAGTGATGAAAGTTGCCAGAAAAGGGACATTGGATTGAACAACAAAGTTCTCCTACTTAAAGATGATTTTGTTCATTTAACTTTAACCATCTTGAGTGGAAAAAGTAAAAGTTAAATTCAAAAATGGCCTCTTATTTTAAAATAAAATCATCCGAGATGAGTGGGAAAATGTATCTTTGCTCAAACTTCATATAAATAACATAAACATGTAAAAAAAAAAACATGAATTCTGAAAAATATCCCCACCTGACCCGCAGCGTATCTTCTGATTTCTGTACACTAACTTTAAAATGTAAAACAGTTCTGCAAATTGAAGTACATAATTGTATACATAAGGAATCAAAGCTAGAAGATGAACCTATCAAAATGTAGTTAGTAGAAGCCATATGCACCCATCTGTCCCACATGGTAATATGACCTGAGAAAGATGACCCAAAATTTCCTCTAGTTATTATTAGAAAACACATAAAACATCAGGATAGCAATGCTTGTTTCACTTCAGGGGTGTCAAACATAAGGCCTGGGGGCCAGAATCAGCCCAACAAAGACTCTAATCCAGCCCATTAAATGGCTTTGGAAAATGTGAGATTTTTAACTGTATTTTAGAGCTTTTCTTCTCCCATGGCAATTCACACTACACCAAAATGATTACGTTATAAATTTATGTATTTTACACCTTTATTTCTTACCATTTAGGCCCAAAGAATCATCTAGAGAGATTTCTTTCATTTACTACAGCAGCATTTCTTTATTATGTGGAAAAAGTGAGGTGTACTTTTAATTCTTTTCCTTTTTCTTATATAAAATCATTTGACATCCCTGCTCTACATCACAGACATTAAACTAGTGCAATTTCACTTTTTAAACTAGGATTTATCCCATGATGTTGATGCTCAAAGTTGCTTACACACACACACACACACACACACACGCACACAAAATATATTGAACAAAAGTTAGACTTTGGCTTCAGAATGTTACACTTGGAAGTGGATTTAAAATTCATTTGGCTTCATTTAGGTGAGCAAACATGTGTTTTTGAGCCCTGAAATGCAGTGACTAAAAATATCTGGTTCATAGTAACAATGTTGCTGATAATCAGTGTTTGTGTTTATTGTACTTTTCCATCCAACTGCTTATCCAAGGATAGGATGGTGAGGGTGCTGGAGGCAATTCCAACTCTTATGAGATGAGAGGCAGCATATACCCTTCACAGTCTTCCAGTCCATCATAGGGCTAATATAGTTACACTCAATTCAGAATGACTAGTTAAACTGACAGGGATGTCTTTGCACTGTGGGAGGAAGCTGAGGCACCAACATTTCTGTTGCTATCATTTATTTGTCTTTATCGCCTATAGGTACATGTCATGTAATGTCTATTTTCATCAAATGCATGCACTCAAAATAAAGTAGTCAAAAAAACCTACTTATTGATACTTGAGTGGACCCATCAATTATTTTGAATAACTTCCTGACTCAGTTAAGGCTCTGGACCAGCAACTGAAGAACTGTTATTTTTCAAAATGTCACAAAATCAGCATTCCTATTTTAAACTCCGACCAATACCTGTCAGTGAAACTCAGTAGAGGAGTTTCCATTATTTCAGATTTCTTCCTTAATTATGAAATAGTGTGTAAACCTCAAAAAATGCGGAGGAAAGCCACTGTTACAAACTCCACGCAGCTGAGTGCACTGGGAAATGGTGCGAGCGAGAAGTCAGGAGAAAACACACATTTGAAGGTGATAAAACAGATAGAAAGACCTTCTAAAACTCCAGCTGGGAAAGGCCTCGGAAAAGCAGGAGCCAAACGTTTGGGCCGACTACTGAAACGAGCTATCCCTAACCAGGATGAGGCGACAGGAAAGGCGAACGCTTCTCTTCCCAGTGAGTCCCTGACGGTTCAGCTAAAGCTAAGCTAATCAGCCAACTGCTGAGGCTAGCTAAATTAATCCAAATTAAGAGTTTATGTGTCTTTGATTTTAATTATTTTTAAATCTGCTTTAGATTTCAAACAATAAAAAATAATACTATGACACAGAATTTATTTCCAGGGTCTTTCCTGGTTCAAAATGGGTGGGGGGGGGGGCTATGCATTTTAGCAGCTGTTGATGAAGATGTTAAGATTTAGAGTACATAAAAGGGTCAGCTCAGTTTGGAGACAAAGTTATAGAGGCAAGGCTGAGAAGGTCTGGACATGTGCAGAGGAAGGATAGAGGATATACTGGACAAAGGATGCTGAACATTTAGCTGGTTCATAACAAAATACAACAGTGAGAATGGATGGAGACATTTGTACTATACTATAACTGGTTTGCACTGATCTGTGATTTGAATGTTATTTTCTTCATTGATTTTTCAGAGACTCCCGTCCGGCTTTTCAAGCATCAGATTCAAACAGAGGCTGGAAATGCACCCAAGACAAATTCCGCAAAGCCAACCTCGCCTCACATCTCCCAGCTCATCCTCAGTGTGGTTTCCCAGTGCAAACACAGAGGCGGCATCTCCATGGCAGAACTCAAACAGATGCTGGCAGCTGGAGGCTATGATGTGGCCAAGAACAACAGGCGAGTGAACATAGAGACCAAGAGGCTGGTTAACAACGAGACACTTGTACGAACTACAAGAAATGCATCATTCAGACTCAACCATAAGGTAATGCACCTTTAATCTTTGGTAACTGGTATTAGTTCAACTAAATGCAGCACTGCTGCGTGTAAGTTATGCATGTAGCTTATTGGCATTGTGGCTAAAAAGTGATTTTCTTGCCCGTGTGTTGCAGTATTACAGTGAGATTCTCAAAACAATTTCATGTCACATTAACTTTTACCCCCCGAAAAATAGAAGCTGACAGACATAATTCAAGTAAGGACGATCCCAGTGAAGACTCCAAAGCCAAAAGCAGAGCTGAAGCTGACTCCGAAAACAGCAACAAGCAAATCCCCCAAAGGAGCAGAGAACCAAAAGAGACGAGTAATAAAGCCAAACCAAACCAAACCAAAGAGCAAATCGCACCAAACAAGGGCAACACCTCGAAAAGTTAGATCACCCAAACTAAAACCTAAGCCTCGCAGAATGGCGGTCACATCACCCAAACTAAAACGCAAGCCTCGCAGAATGGCGGTCACAGCGCACAAACTAACACGCAAAACTCGCAAAGCGGCAGCCAAATCACACAAACAAAGAAGGAAGACAACCAAAGGAAGAAAATCACCAAAACCTGCTGGCAAGAAACGCAGACCTGCAACAAACAGGGGCGCACGAGTTCGAAAGGTACCGAGGAAGGCTCAAAAGACTCGGAGACGCCGACCAAACCAAGTTCAAAATCGACATAAAAAGCAAGCAAGACGAAGGCTTCCAAAATCAAAGTTGAGATCGAGGAAAGGCACTTACTACAACCGCTAGGCTGAGTCTTCATGGTAAACAGTAATAAACAGAACCCCTTTTAGCATCCTGAAATACACGTAGTTCTATGTTGTGTTTGTGTTCCCATATCATTTTTTCTTCACTTCACTGTACAGACCATAGATCGCATAAAACATGGACAGTTTTCAGATACAAGTTCTGAAAAGTGAAGCTTCAGTGGAAACTTGTCTTTCTTTTAAATGCTACTTGAATGCGATACCTGTGGTTGCAAAAATATCATGTATTGAGGTCAGACAGATATGTGATCATTAACCATGTGATTGCCATTTTAAATGGGTGATAATGTAGGATCAAGTGAATAAGGCTTCAGTCACACGAGCCTAGAGACAGTCTGTGTCTACCTGGCAACCACCAGTTGTGATTGAAAAATGAGTATTCCCTGGCCTATTATGAGTGGTTGTTGGAGGTTGATGGCAGTCTCTGGGACATTGATTGCTAAAGTACCCGACACACAGGCCTACAGGCTGTCAGTGATCTCCCTGGCAATCACCTGTTGTTAGGGAAAAAGGGTATATTTCCAGCATAAACCTCCTTGTGAATGCTTTAATCAGCAGCACATTTTTGCAGTTTGAATGGAAGTGATGAACTTATTACCTTCAAAGTAAAACTTGCACTCTTTGAAATATATTGGCTGCAGCACTGAGGCTGAACTTTATTCTGAGGGCAAACATTCGCCATTTCGTGTTGCATTCTTTCAAGTTTTACTACTGCTAGACTAGTAGTTGGCAAATGCTGGCAGATAAACTAAAACTGCAGGCAACCATGGCAATCTGCTAGTAACCAGACCAAAGTGCTTTTAATGCAGCACCTTCTTTGCAACTGATTTTATCCTGGGAGAGCCGGCAACCTCGAGAAACCACTGTCAGCCAGTTGTAGAATACACGTCCCTAGCAACCGGTGATTGTATGACACCCAATATGGACTCTAAAAGCATTGTGCACATGACGTCACTTGAAAAACCTCACTAGGAGACAATTGCAAAACAGCTCTTAGACTTGACCTCTGAATACTATCTTGATGAGTTTATGGGCTGAGTCATGAGGCTTGGGTCATGTTGAATAAAATGTTATGTCATTTGTCAAACTGTGATCATTTCAGAAGGGAGTATTTTTCTGGTATCGTGGTTTCACAGTCAATTCGGTCTCTCATTACATTATCTTGATGCTTCGAAGCAGGACTTTATAATCAGTGGGTGACATCAAAGTAGCGATGTCCATCTTGTAGTTTATGGTTGTCTATGTGTGAAACTTTGCACAAATCAAGAGTAGTCGTTATTTAGTCACACATTTTAATGTAACTACAACAATCCATAATCAAAACTGCAATTGATACTGGTATAAAAATAACTGCCATGCTCCTGCATGGAAAAGGAACCAATGTGCCTTCCACATGGTGCTCACATGCCATCGAATACATATACAGGACAGTGTATAGCAGGATAGAACATTGGGCATCAGTGGACACTCAGTCCAGTATTTCTAGTGCACTGAAATAAAGTCCATATAGTCAACTGTCTCTTTCCAGTCAGCATCAACACTTTTCTATCCGTCACAGGATGCCCCACACCTCCTCAAAGGCAGAGCACATCTTGGCACAGGTCAGTGCTGCAGACAGGGGGTAGTTACTGATGGACACTGTCTTCTCTGTGTAGTCCACGTTAACCTAATAAGGACAGAGACATCAGTAACACACAAGGAGTATTTGACATAACTGCAACAGACTAAAAGAGTCTGTAAAAGAGAATGCCTCAATATATTTCTCACCGCTCCATGTGCGAATGCTCCAATCACCACTGCAGCTGGTCCCTCTGGTACCAAAGTCCGTGGGCACACGGCCTCTCCTGAAGAGAAGGAGGTGCTGATACGAGGGCAGCCGGGAGGTAGGTGATCAGACACTGGATTTTTAATCATCCTCAGGAGCTTCTGAGGACCATCAGCAGCCCTGACACTCAGCTTGTGCAGCAGCTGAACTAAGAAAGTAGAGAGAAGAAAGAAGAATTAGGAGAACAGTAATGGAGTGAAGGCTCACTTAAAGCCAGAACACATGGGAATAAGACTTAAGTACAATGCCTACAGTATGTGTATTATCCATGCAGAAAAAAATAACAGTTATAGTTTACCCATAAGGCCACAGAAACGTGTGAATGTTCTTGGGATGCGGGTCTGCGGGTTGATCTCGATTAAAGCGTTTTTCTCTGTGTGGATGTAAACCTGCAACAGCCCCGCCCTGTTCAACGGACTGTCCATCAGCATGAGCAAACACTGGAAATACACAGTTCAAAGTTAAAACCATTCTTACAGCCCTTCATCACAAACATGCCACTACGCTTTATATAAGAAAACACAGACATAAAGGATAAATAATAAAAAAATCACTCTAGTTAAATTTCAGACTTGATGTATTGATTTTTATTTCAATTTAATTTTACAATTTAGTTTCAGATTGCCTGCAAAGTATTTTGTTTCATTTTTCAGTTTCCTTATTAAGTGTTAGGCCAAGATATAAAAAGTTCAGGTAGGTAGGTATTACAATACAAACAAAAGGCAACTGACTCACAATCATGTACATATCCCTGTCTCAATAAAATGCGCACAAAAGCGGCTCATGTCTGTTTTCCTACTTTTATTTTTGATAGTTTTTTTGGTTGTTTTGTTCCTAAAGTACTTCTTACACTACTTCATATTATTCTTACACTACTTAGTACTTTTTATTCATACTATACTGTTATATATGTGCACTATTCAGATTAGTGAAATATTACTGATGCAGTAGTGTCAAAAGTCAGCTAATGAAACATGCTGGTTTTGTTTTTGTCCCTCAGTTACACTGTAATAGTTCCTAAGTAGTAGGATTTGAGCAGGTCCAGATGTTAGGGATGTTGAGTCAATGATACTGTATTTCTGTAACTATTAAAAAAAACAATATGTCACAGATTATAAATATCACAGACTAAGACAAATTAATATGAATTAAGACTACAATACTGTGCATACAATAAGTACCAGAGTAAGGAGCACTAAAAAGTAATCACAAGGATCTATTTATTTCTAAAGGGGACTTTTGGAAAGCGTTAGATCCCAGAAACCATGCTACGCAAAAAAAAGAAAGAGAGAAAAAGATATGAATATGCTCTTTTAGCGCTTTGATTCATACTGGGGGAGGATTGCTCCCCAGATTACTTTTTAAATGCAGAATAAACTAAAACTAAATGACAGGCTTGATGCTCAGTACTGTGCTATCAAACATGCTTTTATCTGATAAGACATAATTAAAAGGCTTTTTTCAGATGTGTTCCATGGGCTTTTTTGAAAATACGAATACAGCCGTGGCTTGAAATTATTTTGCTTGCCCTTTGGTGTGCTGTTGGCACATAATCTCTTCTCTCCTCAGGCGCCATCACAGCAGATCATCTTCCATCTCACCCCGTCCCAGCAGCCCCCGTGTCACACCAACCCTCTGCATCACATATTCAACATCCTTTGTCTAATGTATCCACTATATGTTCTCCGCTACGGATTTGTAAACCTTCCCTTTTATTCTCATTGCTATCCTTCTGTCACAAATAACCCCTCACGCTCATCTCCACCCATCCCACTGTGTCTGCACACTCTTCTTCACCTCTCTGGTGTGCTGCTGCCTGTTGTTTTGGTTGACCCAAGGTATTTCAACTCATCCGCCTTCACTCCCTCTATTCTTTGCATCTTCTTTATTATCAGTATTATGATACTTTTGTTAATCCCAGCAACCTATTGTGATATTTCTGAATTGTGAGTTGATTCTCCTGACACCTAAAATGGACTTCTAATCATAAAATCAATAATATAATTGACTTAAATGCAATGAAACTCCACTCTGGTTAACTGTGACAGACTGACAAACACAAGTGACGAATAATTATTATTGAAGAATGAGTGTTTACCTGATGTGTGATATCTGGTCTTATTTTTCCGGGATCTCTTCCACTTTTGATGATCATATTTTTGTGTTGGTCGCAATTTAACAGCTCAAATGTTTTCCCGACCTGAAATATGAAAAACAAGCCAAAAGCATGTATTAACTCGCCTTAAGTTAAGTTATTATTAAGCATCGTTGTTGGTGTCACTTCCACTAAAAACGGGTAGGGGTTGCATCACAACAACGCGCAAAGACAGCTCCATAGCGCCTTACCTTCACCGTCTCTAACGACGCTCCCTCCAGAATAACCACCAGCCTCCTCTCCGCCATGCGGTCGTGCAGGCTGCGGAGATGTTTGGCTGGTTTAGGTTCATATTCGTCCAAATGTTCAAGACCACGCTTCTTCCCATTACCCGCCGCCATGATGCCTTCCTCTGGACTGTCGCGGGAAGTTCACGTCACTGCAGAGGTGCGCGTTCACAGGTGAGTGTATTGCACATAAAAACGTCATTTGTGGGGTTTTTATGAAGGTAGCTAGATTTTGAATATGTAAGTATGTGGTAAAAAAAAATCAGACAGTTTTATGTTAATAAAATAAAACGTGTTTCCTCAGCGCCCTCATTCTGCGCGCGCCACCCTTTCGTCACTATTGTGCGCCGGATGTCACGCTACAACGTGTTGAAGGAAATTTCACGTGTAGAAATTTTCGTCCTGCATCGCTCCACAATCACACTACAATTAGTGTCTGCGGACCTTAAAGTATCCGGTTTATTGGTGAGTATTTGAAGAATCGATGCTGCGATTCGCGCTGCAGCTAAAGAGCGGTTCAGTGGCGATAAGCTTTGAGTTGTAAGGGTATACTTTTTAAAACTGTGCGGTCAGGTAATGGCTGTGAAACTGGTCACAAGTTTTTAACGAGGCTGTTTGATAACAGTCTGATCATACATTAATATTTAAACAGTTTAATCCCCAGCAGATGAAGTGGGAGAATTTGTAATAAACGATTTATCATTTGTTATAACCAAACATATTTATTACTGTTTCAACAGTAAAGAGACCCTCTCTGAAACACTACATAATTTAATCACTGCTTATAATTATAAAGAGCATTGGTTGTGTTGGAGCTGAATTTATTGTACTGATGTTGGACGGTTTTCTTTCCCGCAGATCTCCATCCAAAACAGTTTTACTTTTTTTCTTCAATGACGCTCCTCTCTTTTACATATACTGTATTTTTTGTTTTGTCTTAGGGTTTTAAAACACTCTTGCTGTGTTTTCTTTTTCAGACTGTCGGTGTAGAAGGAAATCATGGGTCGGAAGTTGGATCCCTCCAAGAAGTTGAAGAAAGGTCCGGGTAAAAAAACCCGGAAGCAGCAGGGAGCAGAGACAGAGTTGGCCAAGTTTATAACTGATGGTAACTATCCCTTTCCAAGTCAAAAGTTTCTGTTTTGGAGGTTTAGTAAAACACGCTGTCAACATTGTGTTATTTTTTATATTTAATCTTTGCAGAGGACACTGGATCAAAACGTCTCTCAAGTAGAGCCAGAAAAAGGTAAGAGGTTGACTGAGGATGTAACATGACATAAAACAAATGTGTTTACAAGCTCCTAATTCATGTTAAAATGTTTCAGAGCTGCAAAGAGAATCCAGAGTTTGAAAAAGCCCAAAGATGTTGCTGAGGAAAAGCCTAAGAAAGGTAAACAATTAACTTTTGCTCAGTCTGGTCAACGCATGATTTAAATATTTGCCCAGATGCAAGCATGAGATTGTTGTTTTGATGGACCATCCTTCTCCAGTATCATTACAGCTATGTAAGCAGTTGTTTATTATTGATTATCAAGTGCAATTATGGGAATATCAGCAAGGGGTAATGGTCCAAGGTGAACAGCCAGACTAAATGTGATTCATAAGCCTTCTATGGAAAAACAAGGATTGAAACATTTTACTTCACCCGGATTGAGGTTTCCGCGGCTCGTTGGCAGCATCTGCTGTTCGTCCTCTTGGGTCTCACCACCTGAAGGAGGGGTCCAAGGGGTTCAGTGCTATGTCGATCAGGAGGTGGCCCTGTTAGTCTAATCCCAAGTTACTGAAACTGGTTTGTTAACCTCAGAATTTTGTTTATGAGTGAAGGGAGACAGGAGCAGGAGACTAGCAGAAGTATTGGTGCGTTAGCAGTTATGCAGCTCCTGCACTGGTTTACTGTTATGTGAGCTTTGGGTAGTGACTGAAAGAATAAGATTGGTGATATAACCAGCAGAAATGAACTCCTTTTGAAGGCTGTCTGGACTCATCCTTAAAGTTCATGGTGAGGAGGTTGGTCATTCAGGAGGGGTTTTGAGTGGAGCCATTATTCCTGCACATGGAAAAAAGCTAGTTGAAGTTAGAGCTGGGCGATATGAGATTTTTTCATATCACGATATGTTTTTTTCATTTCAGGCGATAACGATATCTATCACGATATAAGCCAAATAACTATATTTGTAAGATTTAAATGTGCCGTTGCTCACAAGTAAAATGTGAAATAATCAGCAGCTTGTTTTTATTTAAATATTTATTTCCCATAATAAGTTCAACAGGGTAGATGTACTTAAGGAACATGAGACTTTTTCAGATAAATAAAGGCAAATATTGCAAACTACACAAAAGGCAGCCGCTAAAGCGTTTAAGTTTCAAAATAGAACAAACGAAACAGACTAAACTGTCAATTCCACTTAGAAACAAAATATTAATTCTAAAAATAAATCTTAGTTTGTTTTACAGAAGAACAGACAAAACTGACTAACTTTTGTCAATATCAAATAAACTGAGAACTAAAAGGAAATTCTCAATCTCTCCTTGTTGTATAGCTTAGCTTTTCAAACAGTTACTTTAGTCTGACAAAAGCCGAATGACGAATTAGCGCTTCCAGTCAGAGACTGAGGCTACGTCCACACGTACACGGGTATTTTTGAAAACGGAGATTTTCCGTTTTCGTTTTAAAAAATAATCCCGTCCACACATAAAGGCAGAAATGAAGGAAAACGCTGCTATGAACATGCCAAAGCAGCAGGTGGCGCTAGATTCCTAACCGTGCAGAAATGTTGGCCAATCAGAAGTCTAGAAGCCTCGGTGGGAAAAAGTAAACAAAGCTGGGGCATAGAAGCAGAACCGAGTCGTATGTGTGGAGGGACAGTAACTGTGTGTATATGTAAGCATTTAAACACTGCAGAGAGTAGAATTAACAGTAACAGTATTGTAGAAATTCATTTCACCGAAACAATAACGTGGCGCACAGTGTGACGCATGCACCAGTTTATTGTATTTCCAGACTTGCTTTCGGCACAATTTACAGTGCACGCTACTCTGTTTTTGTCAGACTTGAAATAGCCGAAATACCTTCACACTACGGAACTTCTATGGCTCTTCCGTTCGACAATCTCTCCGGCATTGGAACCATCATCTGTTTTCTCTTCGGTCACGCTCGGTTGATTTTTCTAGTCGGCACACTCATTTCCTCCATTACCCGCTGGCTGCTTCCCAAACAAACACACTTGCGGCTTGGCACTTGTGCTATACGTAACAAGTCACGCGACGTGACGCTGCGGCTGTGATTGGTTCGGCTCTGCGCTACTTAATTTGGATTGGCTGACCTTTTTTTTTTTTTTCTTTTTTTTGGAGGACAAGAGCGGCGAGGTCTATCGCGATAGCTTAATTTCTCTATCGAGTAAAAGTTATATCGCGATACATATCGTTATCGTTCTATCGCCCAGCTCTAGTTGAAGTGGTTAGGGCATCTCACCAGAAAGACTCTTTGGCACCTCCTAAGTGAGTTGTTTCAAGCCCGTTCCACTGGGAAGAGGTCCTGGAGCTATCCAGAGGCTTTTGAGCTTGCATCTCTCGGCTGGCTTGCTAACAGCTTGGTCCAGTCGTCAGTCCACTCACAATCCTGATAGGAAAACCAAAAGGGAATGGAGGGAGGGATGGATGGATATTGATTATTAATGCATCTTGTATGTGTCATGATTTCAGCAAGGAAATAAATGAATAAATACACATATATTTACAGTTTTTTCTTTCTTTCTTTCTCCCTAAAGGGTTCACAGATGAGAACAGCAAATGGTTGAAACCGTCAAAGAGGAAGCGCAAGATTGATGAACAAGAAAGTGAGGATGACAGTGATGAACACTGGGAAGAAGAAGATGATGATGAGGAGGAGGAAGAGGAAGAAAAGGTTGTAGAAAAGAAGGGAGGCAAAGACCAGCAGAAGAAGGGTGTAAAAGGAGTGAAAAAAGAGGCCGATGATGATGAAGGCGATGATGATGATGAAGGCGATGACGATGATGAAGGCGATGATGATGATGATGATGAAGGCGATGATGATGATGACATGGTTGATGACTATGGTGTTCAGGATGACAGTGATGAAGCAGCAGAAGATGACAGTGATGGAGAGGATGTATGTGCTCTTTCTAACCTTTTTTACCCTTTTTAATTTATTTATTTATTTATTTTAGTTTTATTCAGAAGCTGAAACGAAATATTCTTCCAGCCTGGAAATGTGAAGTTTGAAGCCTCATTTTATTAGAAAATTTTCACTTATGAGCTACAAAATCGGGAGAGTATTCTGTTTTCAGTGGCACTAGGCCTTATTACAGTTACATTTTTAAGAGAACATTGTAGCAGAGGCTGGTTAACTTAGAGCTGTTTTTTGTTTTTTTCTACCTCCAGCTTCTTCCCATTGAACGTGCAGCCAAGAAAGAAAAAAAGCAGAAAAAGTCCAAGGCTCCTGATAGTGATGAAGATGATGATGATGAAGAGGATGAAGAGGATGAGGATGATGACGAGGAGGAGGAGGAACAGGAATCTGATGCTGACATGGATGAAGAAGATGAACTAAAAACAAACATTGACGAAGAAGATAAATTCAGGCTTCCTAAACCAGAGGAGGGTGAGTTTCTGTGAAGTTTTTGTCTTTTAGAGCAGCAAATGTGCAAAAAGAAATTCTCTGATTTTCTACAAACAATTAAAACGTATTTTTTTGGTCCACATTTTCTAGGACTTCTGCCTCTAGACCTGAAGGCAATCTATCAGCGGATAAAGGACAACATTGACCTCCTGTGCAATTTCTCAACAAAAAGAGAGGAGGGGAAAGACCGAGCAGACTACATCTCACTTCTGAAAAAAGATCTCTGCACCTATTACAGCTACAACGAGTTCCTCATTGAAAAATTTATGGACCTATTCCCTCTTTCAGAGGTGTGTTTTCTTCCGTGCATGGTTTTGGTTTGTTTTTTTTGGGTTTGTTTGTATGTTTTTTCATTAAATCCTGATTTAAAAGAATTCATGGATGCATTGATTTAAACATGCAAGGTCTAGCTGAGAATATCTATTTGACTTCAAACATTATATTTTCATTCTGCCTTACAGCTGGTTGATTTCCTCGAGGCCAATGAAATTCATAGACCTGTCACTATTCGAACCAATACACTGAAAACAAGGAGGCGGGACCTTGCACAGGTAGGTGCCTGATCTTAAGAGACATGGACAAAATTGGCATTTAGAATGTTTTAACAAGTTAAAATACATAATGTGTGTCATGACTGTTAGCGATTTGGTAGTTTATTACTTTAAAGATTGTATCTGTTGTGATATAGAATTGTTTTTGTTGAACAAAAATTTGGCAGCCAGGATGAAGAATTCTGTACTTAGGTTAGTTTTTTCAGAAGAAGATCTATAGAATATTACATATATATTATATGTATTAATGGATTTACTGTTGATTATGGAGTTAAGAAGCAAAGTCTCACAAGCCTAAAAAGCAGTCATTGACATCTGCCAATGTGATGCATCCCCTGCCTGGTTGATACTTGGTTGCTGGATGTTGGTTGCTAGGTTAAAATCTGTTGCACAGAGGGAGCGGTGCCATAGGCCTCCTATTGAGGGCTGTGGTCACCTTTATTGTGGGAGGGGCCAACTTCTCAAACACTCACCAAGTTGTCATAAAAGGAAAAACTACTTAAATGACAGGAGGAAACTCAAGTCTTTACATATTGAATTCACTTGTTTGTGCTTTTCCTTGTTTAGGCTTTAATCAACAGAGGAGTGAACCTTGATCCACTGGGGAAATGGTCTAAAGTGGGTTTAGTTATCTATGACTCCTCAGTACCTATAGGTAGGTTTCAAAAGTTATGTAAGTGACCAACTTAAGCAATTAAGGATGCTATCTGAGTGTGACTGCAGCTTCTTTACATGTTAACTAGGTGCAACTCCGGAATATCTGGCCGGTCATTACATGCTCCAAGGAGCCTCCAGCTTTCTGCCAGTCATGGCGCTGTCTCCACAGGAGGGAGAGTTGGTATTGGACATGAGCTCAGCTCCAGGAGGAAAGACTACCTATATTGGTAAGATGTATTGCCTTTATTGCAAATTATGTTGTCATTTCACCCTTAAAAATAGTGGAGTCCTTATGCAGATGTTCTCACCCTTAGCTCAGCTGATGAGAAACACGGGGGTAATAGTGGCTAATGATGCCAATGCTGAAAGACTGAAGAGTGTGGTGGGAAACATCCACCGTCTGGGGGTCACCAACACTGTGGTCTGCAACTATGACGGCAGAGAGTTCCCAAAGGTATCCTGTCTAAATGTGTAGATCACCAATATCTGTGGGGTTAAGCCTTATTACAGTTCCAATGTTTTGACCTGTTGGAATTCTGCTTTAAGGTCATGGGTGGCTTTGATAGAGTGCTGCTTGATGCACCCTGCTCAGGCACAGGAGTCATTGCTAAAGATCCAGCTGTGAAGACGAGCAAGGTAAAAACCAAGAAAGAAACTTTTTCTGTCTTTATATACACACACGTCCGTTTGCTTTAAGTAGTGTGCTAATACTTGTTTCTTTTTGCCCTTCTGTTCACTGACAGGATGAGGTGGATATCAATCGTTGTGCTCACTTGCAGAAAGAATTGATTCTGTCTGCCATCGACTCGGTCAATGCTGATTCCCCATCGGGAGGATATCTGGTCTACTGCACGTGTTCAATAACTGTATGTGGAAACTCTGAATTTCTACCAAATTTATGTACAAACATAGTAAATATCAGACGAGCTTGGTAAGTGATTGCATTTTTTTCAACTAGGTGGAGGAGAATGAATGGGTGGTGGACTACGCTTTAAAGAAAAGAAACGTCAAATTAGTTCCCACAGGACTCGACTTTGGCAAGGAAGGCTTCACCAAGTAAGTTGGATAACCAGTGTTATTATTTTAGGAGCAAGTAAGAAATTGAATAAAACATGAATATTTTCCTTCTTTTAGTTTCAAAAAGTTCAGGTTCCATCCAACTCTGCGACTCACGCGACGATTTTACTCTCACTCCCACAA